TAATTGGAAAACCACTCTAGTGTGAACACGATTAATGCGCATCAATGCGCATTACTTTGGCCAGTGTGAAAAGGCCTTAATTTACGGACCGAGCGGCGGACCCAATACAAACTAATTTATGGACTCGACCAAGGGACCCAAAAAGACTAAAGTACGGACTCCGCGTTAATGACCACGGACCTGACCAACCTAGCAGCATAGATATTTTTGCTAGCATCAGTATCTATGATGCTAGCAAACTCCATGATGGCCTAGACAACAAACAGAACTTCAGTGACAAAAATTATTTTTATTTAGGCAGTCGCTATTTTTACGGGCCCGTAATCCGACCGTGGGTGGCTATTTTTACGGCAGGATGATTTATCTATGGATTTACTCATTTTAAAACCTGGGAAACACTCTAAAATAAAAAACTAAACCCTAAACCAACCTTGGGGACTCCTAACATAACTAGGGGGCTCATAAAATGACTGGGGACGCTCTAAAAAAAAACCGCCACCCTAACCCCTAAACCCTAAAACAATAGCTAAGTAGGGAACTCCTAACATAACTAGAGCTCCTAACATAATTAGGGAACATAGCGAAGTAGAAAGATAAAAAAAATCAATTTGTTAAAGTCAAAATTGTAAAAAATAAAAAAAAGAAATGGTCTGAGCTGAATTCGAACCAGTGCCTGTCCGTATCCAACCCAGCGCCTTCCCCACTGTGCCACCATGATCCTGCTGCCTTATTGATGCTGATTGTCATCTTTATATGTCACTTCATTTCTATATTCCCTGCCGTAAAAATAGCTGTATACAATGAGATTACGGGACCGTAAAAATAGCCACTACGTTTCATTTATGGTGATAGTGATGCTATCAGTTGAGTCATAATACAATCAATGAGGCCGTAGTTCATTGCATTGATTGTCGCGGCGTCTTCTCTGTAGGGAACACCGCTGATCCCTTCTAGTTTGATGTCAGCAATAGTCTGCATTCAGTCAGTCTTCTAGGCAGCTCGCTTCTCTGCTGGCTGTCAAATATGTTATATTCACCATTCAATAAAACAAACTCTTTTCTCAAACAAATCAATTATCATACAGAAATAACAGAGCAAATGGAGAGACAAAAAAGCCACAATACAATATGCACTCACTCACGCACTCTAATTCTCTCACTCGCTCGCTCCCGCTCACACGCTCTCTTATGTCCAGAAATTAGAGGACACGGAATTTAATTTTTCAGTAAAACTCCGTAAATTGTAGGAAGCTAAATGTAGGCGACATGAATAGAAGAATAGGTTTTCACTCTTCTCCTGAAGGATTGGAGCAGAAACAAGCTTCATTTCACTTAGCATACTATGCTACATCATATGCTCATTGTTTTGGTATAGAAATTTTGTGGCAAATACCATGCTGAAGTGTGGAATTCTGAGCTCAAAGACAAGGACTATTGACGCCGCCATTTTACATTCATTTACATGTACCATATTGTTTTATTCCAAATGTAAAGCAGTATAATTTTATTTC